TTGGACATAACATTGATGTTAGGCACTCCAACATCACTGTTAGGATGATTTGCTAGAACCATGGTTTAGCCAACCAATGTTAAACACCAGTCAAAAATTTAAGTTTTCCAAATTAAAAATCAAGTGTTGGAAACACTTATTTAATGTATTTAATAGAGAAACCAAGTATAAAATATTAAAAACTACACCATTTAGGTGAAAACAACGAGTATCCAAGTTAAAGCCAATTTTCATGGTTTTTTATCAAAGTACAAAAACCCAAAGGTGGTTTTTAGAACGTTTTTATTGGAAAACCTTTTAGATATTCCCAAAACTAAAAAAAATCATAATATGTTAAAAGCCCACTTAGTTGATTTGATTGCCAAATACGGCGTAGTGTTAGCCGAGGAAGGTTGACTGGTATAACGGTGGCACGTAGTTGATGTAACGACCCAAAAACCGGCTTAGTAGTTAGCTGTTATTTTATTAAAAATAAAATAAAATTTATTTACTCAAAAATATGAATTAACTTTAAATTCAACTGTTTTGGTGGAATAGATTTTCGAGTAGATCTTGTAAAATGGTTACCAACGGTATAAAGTTTGTCAAGTTTGGATATACGGATAAAGCGTGGTAAGTAAAATAGACATTTCAGTTCAATAAATAAATACAAAGATTTTAAAATAAAATAATCTTAAATATTATATTTCCTAAATCTACCCGTACGAACAATATTACCTACGAAGAAAACAAGGAAAGAAACCAATGACGATGACGGCAATGGGGCACTAGCGACTCTTCCTCCTCTCCTTCCTCTTCTTCTTCTTCTCCTTCCCTGCGCCTGCTTTGTCCTTCGCCGCTCTGTTCTGATCGCGAGAACGAGAGAGAGCGAGTGGGTTACGAGTACGGGTCGGGATTAGTGGGTTTAGGCAATCAGGGTAATACATACATACATATGTATTTATAGGGTTTTGTGATCCGTAATTAGATAACGTACCACGATTAAGATACACTTTTTGGGCCAACATATTCTAAATTCAGATTCATTCGCTCCATTAGATTCGTCCCGTCAAACCCTACACAACGTTATAACTTTTATATTTTATAAAAAAATTAAAAGATTTAGAATAAACCCTACAAATAGTCAGGGTTTCGGGGGCGTTATATTTCTCTCCCCTTAAAATAATTTCTTCCTCGAAATTACCTAAGTCATTGGTCATTGAAGAGTTGTGGATACCGAGCTCGCATAGACTTCTCGGTCTCTTAGGTTGGACTCCTTAAATCACTCGAAGCTCTGTTGACACGCGTCAGTCTTTATAAATTTGACATCTTTCCTCAGCAGCTTATTCAATGGAGATTCAGTAGAGGATAAACCTTCATCAAAACATCAATAATAACTAGCTATGCCGAGAAAGCTCCTCACCTCCCGTGTATTCCTCATATTCTTTCTCTCCGTGATGGCTAAAATCTTTTTTGGATCCACCTTGATACCTTTAGTGGAAATCACATGTCCTAAGAATGTGACCTCATTCAGCCAAAATTCACACTAGGATATATGTGCATAGATCTTGGTTCTCTTAGCACGCTAAGTGATGTCTGTAGGTGTTTGGCATGGTCCCCGGATGTTTTGGAATATACCAGAATGTCATCGATGAAGACAACAACGAACTGGTCCAAGTAGGGACTAAAGGTGTTCTTCATAGGGTCCTTGAATATTTCACGAGTATTGGTCAAACCAAACGGCATAACCATGAATTCGTAGTGTTCATAGCGTGTACAAATTGTAGTCTTCGGAATGTCTCCTGTCTTCACTGGAATTTGATGGTAACGTCATAGAAGATCGATCTTTGTGAATATTGTAGATCCTCTGAGTTGGTCAAACATGCCATCAATCCGCGACAACGGATAACGATTCTTGATTGTAACCTTGTTGAGTTGTCTGTAGCCAATACAGAGTCTCATGGAACCATCTTTCTTCTTGATGAAGAGAACTGGTGCTCCCCACGGGGACACACTCAGCCTGATTAATCTCTTGTCAAGTAGCTCCTGTAGTTGAGCTTTCAGCTTCTTCTTCTCTGCAGGTTGCATGTGATAAGGGGTCGCTAAGATTGGTTCCGTTCTTAGAACCAAATCGATAGAAAATTTCACTTCCCTCGGCAGTGGTACCGTGGGCCATCACTCCGAGTTGGCTCTGATACCATTGATACAGCACAACGGAGAGCCACACCCTAAAAGCTAACTGTTAAGGTGGGAGAACCCTAGGCCATATAAACCCATCACCAAGTCCCCCATTTAACTGGTGTGGGACAATGAAATCAGTCCGTATCACAGATCCGCTAAAACATACAAGAGCGGCCATTCGTCGTTATGTGTCGCCCATTCGAATGCCGTAAATCCTCCATGTCAGAATCTATGGACCCATTTAACTTTACGATATGCATCTAGATCAAATTTAAGTTTGTAATTGATTACTCCTTACCTCCCGTACTAATGATTCACATTTCTCTAATACTAGAGTCACAAATATCTTGGACACAAATTAGACAAACATATTATTTTTGTATTGTCCCAAGTGAATAAAATGATTTTAAATAATTTAAAAATAAAAATTTAAATGTACAAATAACAAGTTTGTGAAGTTTGTATCCAAATTGTTTGTGACTCTAGCATTAGGGTTCGTTCCGTAGGACTTATTTTTTCTACTTATTACTTATTCTTATTAAAATCAGATCAGATCAAACCTAATCAGATCGGATCAGATCCAATTAGATCATATCAGATTCAATCCGATTAGATCGGATCAGATTCAATCAGATCAGACTAGATCTAATCAGATTAGACTAGATCACATCCAATAATATAAAATCAAGAAATAATATAAAAATTAATATTTATATTTTTCAAGGATTAAATAATAATTACTCCGTACTATTATTTGATTAAATCACATTACTTTATTTAAAACTACACAAGCTTAAATCTTAATTAGTATTATAATTTTAATTATTATTATTGTTGTTATATTATTATTATTATTATTATTATTATTATTATTATTATTATTATTATATTTCAACTACAAACTATTATTTTTAATAATTGCTTAGCTTGTAGGATATGAATGAAGCATGGAAGCAATGTTAAAGCTTAAAAAATTATATTTTTCATACTTTTAAAAGAGTTATTTTAAAACACTTGTTTATAAAATAATTATACAAAACTTAGTTTTCAAAACCATAGGTATTTTAAAACTACAAGACTTGCTTTTAAACTTTAAGATGGTATAATATACACAAGGGTGAGTTTATGACCAGATTGATAGAGGTGAAAGGGATATTAGTGTTTAAAATTTCATATGATCTTTAATCTGTAACATGAAATATATTATTATGTAATATGCATATAGAATGTGATATTTTTGTAGAATAGCATCCATATTTTCTGATATTTGGTTATTTTAATACCGACTATTTAGTTTTCACAAAAATTAAAAAAGTAGTAATATTTAAAAGATGTTTAATATTTCAAAAAAAAGTTTAAATATATTTATGTATATATGATTTGTAATACCTTAAACCTATTAAATTTTGTAATGATTTTAGGTTTAACTTAAATCAAATTTAAATTCATTTAAACCAGATCTAATTAGATAAAATCAGATCCAATCAAATCATATCAGACCCAATCAAATCAGATCAGACCCAATCAGATCAGATCCATTCAGATCAGATCAGACCTAATCATATTAGATCAGAACTTCAAAAGTTCAGATTAGATTCAATCAGATCAGGCATACGGAACAGAGCCCTTCTATTTCTTTTTCCGTCCCTCCCAAAAGTTCTACTTTTTACTTTTGGAAAAGTTTTCGTGTCTATTATTATTTCTCTTTCCTATTTCAATTATATATTCTCTACATCCTAAAATAATCTTTCCAATTCGATTTATGAGGATTGACTAAAATTATTTTCAATTCAATTTATTAGATCATAGGTGTAAAATTAAAAAATAAAAATTATATATTTTAAAAATACATAAAAATGTACAAAACATAAGGTAACATGATTATAAAAAATATGTAAAGAAAGTTATTATATTTTGACCGTGTGAATAATGTCTGGGAAGATCATTTTAGGATGGATGGAGTATTTTATTTTACTTAATTATCGTGTCCGATCAATTGTGAAATATTATCATGAGACAAAAGGAGTATCATGGTTGAATTTTGAGTTAGATTCGTATGCATTTAAGTATGGCCAAAGTTAAGGGTTAAACATTTTATTACATATTGATAATGATATTCAAATAAATAATGTAGGAACATTATCAATCAAAACGCATTGCATATATTAGTCTTTCTTTTTATATTATATTCATCATAGTTATTACTCATGTGATATATTATTATTGATTAACATGATTAAAATTATATTCATCATTGACCAACATGATTAAAGTAATGCATTAATATTATTAGACCTGTGATATACTATTATTAATGCATTAATATATTAGACCTGTGATATACTATTATAATCAACAAAACGCATAGCATTACTTTAATCATGTTAGTCAATAATAGTATATCACAGGTCTAATATATTAATGCATTACTTTATTTAAAAAAATGTTTTGTAATTATTTAGAAATTATTGCACATGGAGGTAGGCTTTGTTTCAATTGTAAGGCCCACTATACGGGTCAAGACAAATTCGAGCCTAGAAAAAATTCGTAATATCAGATCTCAACTTAGCCCTCAATTTGATAGGATGTGCATGGGCGCATAGGTAATGGAGCTAGACGAAATGCTCAGACATGCCGGGTTACTTTGCCCTACTTCTTCTCTCCTAAATTAAATTACTTGTTTACAATTATTCAAAGATCAAATTTCATTCACTTTTTTTTATTTTTATTAGTCATTTAATAAAATAATATAGTCATCTCACCATTAGTTTTGTATATCTTTTTATGTAACTTCTAAATATTTAATTTTTTTAAATTCTATGCCATTTTTCATACAAAATTATTTAAAAAAAACTTTAGTCAAACATCATAAAATAAATAACATAGGAACACTACTCAAATCACTTCAGACATTGCCAATCCAATATCAACGACACAATTGTACTTTTTCTATTACAGATTAATGTGCCTTGGAGGAGGAGCCGATCATCACGTACAACACATTCACTTACATTTTCATTCTTCTGCGATTTCATTTTTTTCCCTTTCATGTCTGGAAAAGTTGTGAATGTGTCTGCAGTATATCTGTAAGACTGTCAATTAGTACAACAATTGTTCTTCTCTTCGCCATTTCAAACTCTTCATTCTGAAACAGAGACAATCCCACTTCCACATTTTATCCACAATGCAGTATATGATACATTTCAATCTTCTAATAAGTCTCAAAAAAGTTGTCAATACATAAGCTTTGGAAAACTGAAGCATCAATGTGATTTTCTGATGATTAAAGAAAGGGCTAAGATATATACACACAAAGCACAACAGCTATGAATTGAAGTGATAAATGCATATCTGTTTACCTCCAGAAACTAAGATGAGGTGCTACAGGAAAAGACCAGCTAGTAGAACTTGAGGCTTTTCTTCATCTTCCTCAAGTTCCAAAGCCGCATCAGCTTTAATCTCCGGAACCCTTTTATCCCATATTCCATCTACTAGCTTCCATGTATCATCACTAATGGTCTGCGTCTGTCCAGAAAAAGAACACGGGAAAAAAAAATTAGTTTACATGAACTGTGCCAACGCAATGACCAGTGAGTGCTCCGATGCTAACAACCTCCATTGGTCGTGATGCACCGAAGGTCAAGAATCCAACATTTCCTGGTGCAAAAGTCACCCTCCCAGGTAATGAAGCACCATGGATTTCCCATCTTCCAGCATATACAAGGACTCCGTATTCATCGATTGGCCTTACAGCCGGCTGAAGGGAAGAAACAAAATGGAATTATAATCTAGAAATATAAAATCATTTGAATTTTGTTTACAAGAAAAGAAAAACAATGAAAAATGATACAACACTGAATTTATCATAGCATGCGCCTCTGTCATAAAACAGTCTGTGCTCCTAGTTGCACTATATTTTCAAGTTCTTCAAGCAAAGAGTAACAGCTCGCATGCTCTTAGAGTGATGAAACACACAAATTCATGTGCACTTAATGTGACATGTGAAAAATTATTGATACAAGTTAAAATATATCATTGTGTACTCCCTTCGTCCCTTTTTTTATTTTCCCGTTTTGGTTTACAATGTTTTAATGCAATTATTTTCAATTCAATTTATTTCATTAATGGTGTAAATTGTAAAAATTAAATTAATATATATTTAAAAACTACATCAAAAGTCTCACTCTCTCCACTCCAAATTAAGGTTCCACATTTAACGGATACAATTATTAAGAAAGGTAAAATTGAGTGGTTGAGAGTTATGCAGCGCAGAGATGTAAACAATATAATCATTTGTTTAAAAGGAAAGTGGAACCTTGTATTAAACAGTATGTGGTTTGACTATTTTATTTTGACAAATAGTTAAAAGAAAATATGTAAAAAAGAAGATATCGTTTGACCACTGAAATAGTAAATGGGAAGTTTAAAAAAATGGACAGAGGGAGTAATATTAAATCTCTAGTAAATAAACTAATAATACTCAAAAATTATACTCTTAAAGTATATCAAAAATTCATATAACAGGTTCAATCATTTCAAATGAAAAAGCATCTAACATTTTGTGCGTGCATCTGCACCACAAGAAAGCCTATAATGATAAGAATTATAAACATGCAATAAAAAAAACTTCGTGATTTGTGCGGCATGTTCTCTTCAACTTATTCTTATTACTTACTCCGTATTATTTATTACTTATTTTTATTGGAATTAGAATCAAATCAAATTAGAAAGGTTCTGTTCATATTAGACCAAATCAGATCAAATCAAAGACATATACAACTTTAGCTTTATTTGGAATCATCAGACCAGAAAAATTCAGATCAAATCAGAAAGATTCAGATTATATCAGACCTTAATAAACGAAAAGAACAAGCTCTAAGGGCACGTTTTCTTCGTCTGAACTAATTAGTTACGCTCTGAAATTATTAAGGTCTAACCTGAATCTGATTTGATCTAAATCTTTTTTTATTCATGAGAATGTTTCTATCTGATTCCAATAAGAATAAATTGTGAAGAGAACATGCCCTAAGTCTCATTATTAGAGGGTGTTTGGCAGTGCGCTGCTTTTAATAATTTAGTTTCTGCTTTGAGTGAAAGTGATTTTACTCTGTTTGGCATGTCAGCTTCTGCGTTTCACCACCACTAATTTGTACATAGAACACCGTTTCGGAGAAGCAAGTATAAGGTGCTTTTGCTTTCAGCTTTTGTGGAAATCACTTTACCCGCAAGTTAATCACTCCCAAACACCCTCTTTATAAAACCTATCAAAGTGTTGTGCATGAACTACCTGAGGTACTTGAATGCAACCTTCGTATATGCCCCAAATTTCATCAGCTTTGATCTCTCCTTTTTCGAGTAAAATGTCTGATCAACATAGAGGTGCACAACACTAGTCACACTAATGGACCACATTAATGATTGAGGATAGTTAGGCAGGCAGCATCAAAGAAATAATCATTTGAGAACTGATTTGAACCTGTAATGGTCTCAACAGCAACATGATTTTCTTTCAGTATAGATGCACATTTTTCCATTGCAAAACGGATATACTCATCTCTCAGAGCTTCAACTTTCGCAGCTAACTGGAAGTAAAGAAATCATAATGACTTACTTAGCTTCAGTATCCGAGGCAACGCTAATGTATCCCATAACCCAAATATTTTAAGATATAAAAAGAAACAAATCCAAGGATGTCACATTTGGCACAAGATCTCTCTGGTATCTGTAGTAAGCTTTCCCAAGTGCAGTCATTCCTGTCTGTAGAATTAAACGTTCTGCAAGCCTAGAAGCTTCTAAAGTAGCATTTGCAGAAATCCAGCACAAATTGTCAACTCCAAACATCTCCACCTCAATGACTCTGGCTGCATGGCCATGAAAAAGAATAACCAAACAGCAAATAGTTGTTCCAAATATGAATTTTACAGTTGCATTTCATCTCAAAGCTGTAGTTGTTATAGTCACCATCACAACTAGCTTTTTACCACATAGCTCCAAACTCACAGCTATAACAGATGAGTCTACGACTTTGGTATTGTCTCTCCCCCTTGGCCCCTTATGGTATTGGTTCACATATTTTTTCTACATTCCACTTGTTCCACACATATACCTTCCACACCACACCTTGGGCAGTGGTGTGGCCATTTGTAAGCCACTTAAGTGTTAAACCCTTTACTACTTTACACGAAATTAAAGTATCTATGCCAGATTAAATAATTCCCTAAGCCCGTTCAATCACTTCAAAGAAAAAAATAACAATGCATAGTTCAAACAAAAACACCTTTGATCTTTTCCATCACAGAACTGCAATGCAGCTGTTTTGCAGAATTGCTCACTAGAAGACTTTATCAAAAACATCTGGACATTATCTTTTGCCCTTTTTCATCTCTTAAAAATGTTATAGTGACTATTTATCCACAAAATAATGGAAGTCCATGGACTCTACTATTTCACAAGGCATCTTGTTTATCGTAGTGTTGTGTTTAACTCCTAAGACAACGGTTACTTGTTTGAGATTGTTTAGGTCAAGCATTGCCATGTTTGTTCCAGGGTAATTTGTTTCCTACTTTCCTGGACTGAATTGTTTGCTGCCCAATAATGTTTGTGTATCACTGCTATGACTATTTCCTAAGTTGTGATTATGCGGAAATTTGGTCTGAAGCTACTAGTTTTGTTAACTCCACCAATGTGGTAGTGAACCCAAAAGCTTAAGCCTATAGGTAGAGTTTCACCCTTCTATATATGTGCTAGTGGTATTTCTTTTTGTTTTCCAATGTGGCAACTCCAACACTCCCCATCAAGTGATAACTAGCCTAGTCTAGCTAACACTTGGAAAAGCGGGTCTAGCATCTCAATCTCTTATAGCTAGCCCACAACAGGCAGTGGCATCTCAATCTCTTACAGCCAACTCAACCCAAACCACGGATGGGTAGCTCATATCGCTAAACCCAGATCCAAACAACCTGAAAGAATCAAACCCGGACCGAACCTGCTCCGATACCATGATAAGGAACCAACTCAACAAAAGTTCAAGCTTGTGGTTGTAGGCCCAAAAAAGGTTTTTATATTCTAACATTTTGTAAATTTATTCTTTCTCTATTCTTGTTCTACACATTTAACTTCAGCCTCCCCGACTAGTTATGATTATTTGTGCATAGCAAGTGTATCTATGATACGATTGTACTCCATAAGAATTCATGAAATCAATATAAAAATGATATAAATACATGTAAATATACTAGCTTTTTACTCACGAGCACAAGCATGCACTACAGCATTCACGTAATCGGATTTCTTTTTAAATACTCTGCCTGCCACCTCTGTATAGCGCATATTAGGCTTACTACGAATGGAGTTGACATTAGTCTGTAAAGAAAATTAACCAAAGAAATATATATGTAAATTAATGTAAAAGTGACTTTCACAAAGACTGAAATGTTGTAACTATAAAACCTCAGTAAAGGAGCAGTGTGGATCTGGAACGGAACATGCAAGAACAGCAACAGCAGCTTCTCGATATGCAAGTCGCAGTTTTAGTTCTTCGGGGACCTCAGTACGATCCTCTTGGCCAGTTTCAAATGTGCCCATTTGCTGCATTATTTAAGAGGAAAAAATATTACATGAAATAAATTTAGCAAATCATAGTGTTACAGAATTTATCACCCACTCTCTTCAAGGCCTCAAGAAGCTCTTCTCGTCCTATGTAGTCTGCATCTGTCCTTGTAGTCAATATTCCAGCTTCATTCCTGTTCATTTCATTCAAGTCATTATTGTTTATCTAAATTTCTTAAGTTGCAATCATTACAGCTTTAGAGAGCTTACAGAATATTTTGGAGTTCTGCACCGGTGAAATCTTCTGTCTGTTCAGCAATTTCCTGAAGTAGAGTATCCTTCTCTTCTTCAGAGCGAAAAAATTTGTTTCGAGCATGGACCTGTGATGTTTGCTTTGATGATAAGAATCCCACAAATCTACACTTGTACTTTATGTATGTCATAGTTGCTTTTTTACCCTTTTTCCATACTGGGATTGGGTTAAGAGACAGAAATGTGGGAAGAATTAGAATAACACACCTTCAGTATGGCCAACCTGCCATCCTTTGATGGCAGGCCGACCCTTATAATCTTGTCAAAACGGCCCTTCCTCAATAGAGCAGGATCGAGGATATCCAACCGATTCGTTGCACCAATTAGTAATACCTAAGTAAACAAAAACTAAGAAACACTTTGTCCCCAATTGCGTATACAATAAACAACATTATTTAATTAATGTTTTTTCAAAACATGCATACCTGTGACGTGGAAACCTTGAATCCATCCATTTCTGTCAGTATTTGAAGTAGGCCTTGCTCCCTCTCAGCACCTCCCTGGTATAGCAAAGTTTTTGTGGCAAACAAGAAGTCATGTGAAAGCCATTACCTGAAGTAAACTTTTATGCAACTCGGTGCCAATGAGATGAGCACAAAATTCTAGCAAACATCTAATACCAAAGGTAACTAACAGATTTGAAAAATAAATTGAAGTAGAAGTGAGTCTGCTAGTGTCAAGTTCTAACTAGCATCTTTAGTACAACCAGGGTAACTAAAAGATTTGAAAAACAAAACTGAAGAAAGTAAAAGTGAATATAGTCAGTACACT